CAGCCTCAACCTGCTGGGCTCAGGTGATCCTTCCGCTTCAGCCTTCCAAGTAGCTGGAACTACTGACGCATGCCACCATACCCGACTAATTTTTGATTTATTGTAGAGATTAAATCTCACCAAGTTGCCCAGGCTGGTCTCGAAACCCTGAGCTCAGGCAGTCCTCTCACCTTGGCCTCCCAGAGTGCTGGGATGATAGGCTTGAGCCACTGTGCCCGGCCAAACAAGTCTTTTTTATTAGGGAGACATCGATGTTTCTTCTACTTTATAGCCTTTAGAGCAGTGGTCTCCAACCTTTTTGATATCAGGGACTGGTTTCATGGAAGAAGACAATTTTTCCATAGACTGGGGAGGGAGATAGCGTGGGGATGGGGGAGTGGTTTCTGGATAAGTCAAGCATATTTCTTGTGCACTTTATTTCTGTTATTATTACACTGCAATATGTAATGAAATAATTATACAACTCACCAAAAAAAAGAGGCACAGATGAAAGTGGTAAATAAAATAATGGGTGGTCCACACATGAACTAAAATAGTGTCAGAGTCTGACTTAAAGCCTGCCACCAGCTGCAGCTGTACAACTGAAGTACATCAACTCACTTGTCACTCACTGATAGGGTTTTGATATGAGTCTGCAAGCAATTCATTTATTACGATCTCTGTGCAGTCAGGCCTCACTGCTAATGTTAATCTGTATTTGCAGCCCTCCCCAGCACTAGCATCACCACCTCAGCTCCACCTCAGATCCTCAGGCATTAGATCCTCGTAAGTAGTGCTCAACCTAGATCCCTCGTCTGCGTCTGCAGGAGTTCACTATAGGGTTTGCACTCCTATGAGAATCTAAAGCCACCGCGGATCTGACAGAAGGCTGAGCTCAGGCATCTCCTGGGGAAGCTGTAAATACAGATGAAGTGCCGCCACTCAGCTCCTGCTGTGTGGCCCAGTTCCTAACAGGCCACTAGTGTACTAGAGTCCAGGGCCCGTGGGTTGGGGACCCCTGCTTTAAAGAAATCTCAGCAAGATTTCTATGTATCAAACACTTAAGGACACTAGGTCCTGTATTCCCAAAGAGAATAAATCAGGTTTTTGTTTGTTTGTTGAAATAAATAAGGTGGCTGAATCTCGCAACTACTTACCATTTGCCTAGTAAGCCTATTCTCTTTCTTTTTTTTTTTTTTTGAGTTGGAATCTCACTCTGTCACCCAGACTGGAGTGCAGTGGCCGCTCCCGGCCACCGCAGCCTCGACCTGCTGGGCTCCGGCGATCCTTCCGCCTCAGCCTTCCAAGTAGCTGGAACCACAGGCACGCACTATCATGCCTGATTAATTTCTTTGTTTGATTTATTGTACAGATGAGGTCTTGCCAAGTTGCCCAGGCAGATCTCGAACCCGCAGGCTCAGGCAATTCACTCACCTCAGCCTCCCAAAGCATGGGATTACAGGCTGAGCCACCGAGCCCGGCCGCCTACTCTCTTTCAACCTGCCCTGCCTTCCAGCCACTCAGCCAGGCGTTCACTCAGCTGACCAGGCAGTCACTTTCTCTGCACACATTTCCTGACCAATGTGAAGGAGTGAATACAGTGAAAAGGCCATGTTTTTTAATAGGCTCAGCTAAGGATAGAAGAGCAGAAAAGTGGTGACTGGAGAGAGGTATAAGGTCAAAGAAGGCGTTGTTTTGTATTGTTTTGTTTTTAAGATGTGAGAGGCATAGGCATGTTAAAATGATGAGGAGGTTAAACATACATGGAAGAGAAAAGATAAATGCTGGCTAGGTCCCTAAGAAGGCAAGAGGGGTCGGGATTAAGAGCACGGATAGAAGGACGGGCAGTGAACAGGCAGGAGAGACACCTCTACCCCCACCCCGCTATAAGAAAAGTAAGGCGGAAAAGATGGATGGGCGTCTATATTCATATATGTTTATTTAAGTGTGGCAGCAGAGAGAGATCATGATGCCACAATCAAGTCTCCTTTCACATCTTAAATGAACTCAGCAGCACCTGATACCACTGCCTGGAAATACTTTATTTTTCTTGAATTTAACGATATCACACTCCTGGTTTTGCTCCAACCTCACTGGTAGTTCCTCTTCAGTTTTCCTTGCTATCCTCCCCACTCCTCTCCCCCAGAACTCTAAGAGCTGCCAGAGGTTGGTCCTGGGCTCCATTCTCTGCCCTGTTCACAAGTTCTCCCTGTGTAACCTCATCTAGTCCCTGGGTTTTAAATACCACCCATGGCAGAGTGCTATATCCTCAATATCCCTTCTTATACTAGTGCAATTTCAGCTGGGCATCTGATCACCCAGCCAAAGACTATATTCTGCTGGTCAGAGTGCAGCGGTGTTTACTACTAATTGATCACAACCAGTTCCTTCGCCAACCCACTGCTTCACTTGACTAGCCTTTAAAAGAAAGAAATAAAAAGACTATATTCTTCAGCTTGCCTTGCAGCTAGAGGTGGCCATTAACTAAGCACTGATAAATGTGAGAAGACATATCTGCAATTTCTAGGTCTTGCCTTTAAAGGGAAGGATATCTTTCCCTTTCCTTCTTCCCAAAGGCTAAAATAGGGGTTTGAGAGCAAGGGCTGCAGCAACCATCAAGAAGATAGAGGAGGCTAAATCTGATGCTTGTGAAGCCGCCATACCAGTGGGAAAGAAAGAAAATCTAACTTCTGTAAGTCACTATTATTTTGGGTCTCTGTTACAGCAGCCGAACTGATAACTAACTATACACTATATGTCAAAGGACCTCAAGTTTATGTCTCCAACTCTGAGACTCCCTGAACCATCTAGCTGCTTACTAGCCATTTCTGCTTTATCTAATAGCATCTCAAACTTAACATGGCCATAAGAGCACTCTTCGGCCGGGCATGGTAACTCACGCCTATGATCCCAGCACTTTGGGGTGAGAAGATTGCCTGAGCCCACCAGTTTGAGACCAGCATGGGCAACTTGGCGAGACCTCATCTCTGCAATAAATCAAGAAAAATTAGCCAGGTGTGATGGTGCATGCCTGTAGTTCCAGCTACTTGGAAGGCTGAGGCGGAAGGATTGCCTGAGCCCAGCAGGTCGAGGCTGTGGTGGCTCTGACGTGCCACTGCACTCCAGCCTGGGTGACAGAGTAAGACTCTGACTCAAAAAAAAAAAAAAAAAAAAGAGCACTCTTCATTCCTTCTCAAATCTGTTCCTCCTTCAGTGTCCCCCATATCAGGAAAGAGCACCCTCACTGCCCAGTCAACACTCCAGGCTTTACTGTTGATTTCTTTCTTCCTTTTACCTCTCCATCCCTAATACTACCATCTAGTCTAAGTTACCCTCCTCTGAGCAACTGAAACAGCCCTTTCCCTGGTCGCCCCGCTTCCACTCTCGCCCACCACATCCCACTCTCCATATCAGTAGCCAGAGTGACCTTTCCAAAATGCAAGTCATATCATGTCATGGCCTCCCTTGAATGGTCTCCCAGCATACTTGGAAAAATTTCCAAATGACTTACCCTGGCTCCCCCAAGTCTTCTCCTTCTCTAATGTCATTTATACCCCCCTGCATCTTGCTCACTACTCTAAGCCACACCGGGCCTTTCGTTTCTCAAATACATCAGGCTGTTCCCACCTTAGGGCCTGCACACTGGCTTTTCAGTCTGCCTCTCCCTGATCCTCACGTGGCTGACCGCCTTGTCCTTCAGATCTTAAGTGTCACTTCCTTAAAGAGGCCTTCCTTTACACAGTCTCGTGTAGCTGACCACATGACTCTGTCTTAGTCTGCACAGCATATTGAAATCCTGATACTTTTCTTATTTCTTTGTCTATCATCTATCTCCCCTCCCACCAGGATGTAAATTACATAATAGCTGAGCTTGTTAGTCTAGTTTATTACCAAATCCCAGTGCCTAGTACATGGTAGGTGCTTATTAAATATTTTAATGAATGAATGGATTTGAAAGAATTTCCATCTCATTCTATTTTCTCTATGAAATGGGGTGCAAAGTAATGTCCTAGGAATGAGAAGAGAAGAAGATCTAAAGATAATGGAAAGGTGGCAATTATGAAGAAGGGGAGAAAGAGCAGAACGGGACAAATCTCCTTGGTTCTAGTCCAGTTCTTTTTCCATTAATGGTATACATCCATGGAAGAGAAAAGACAACTGATGGATAGGTCCCTAAAAAGGCATGAGGGTTTTCCATCAGCTACAGCTTCCATTAGCTTCTATACAGCTTCCATTAGCTTCCACTGCATATGGACAGTATTACAATTTGATCTAATGTTAATAACAGGAGGTAGCTCAGTTAGCAACTTCATTGGTAATAATTGTTCTTACACTTTAGATAAGTACCTTACTTACATCTGCCATACTGTACAGAACTGACTAAAGGGACTCCACACTAGGCCCAGAAAATGAAAGACTAGCATTCATATACTCATGACACATTCAACTACATTCTCTCTTAAACAGAGCCATCAAAGACCATAACTAACAATCACTTAGTGCTAATTGGTATTACAAAAACAATAAGATGTAAGTAGAACTCTAAAAATTGGTAATCACTGTTTTTATAGTTTATTATAGATTTTAAATTATGGTTATTAGCCTCATGCGCTCACTTGTTCACAAAAATATGTGCTCAGCACTGATATATGCTCACCTTCTAATAACTGACACATATGTATAAAGCCTAGTCAGTTGAAATATAAGCAAAGGTAAACACCTGTCTCTCGTCCAATCTGACGCGTCCCCAGGTTGATCACAGGTGTTCCGAAAGCTCCAACTTCTCTCACCCCACAGCTGCTGTTCCCAATCATACAGCCAGCATGGGCAACCAACTGGATAAACTGGTCAAATGGGACGTGTTTAACTGCACGGAAATTGGGATGATGCTCGATGCCTTTCTTCCGCATCACTCGAACCATCTCTTTGCTCCCTGTGAAAATGAAAAGAACCAACTGCTAAATGACTTATGAGATAAAGACACCATTTACACAGGCAAGTATTAAAGAAATCTCCCTATAAAAGCTCACATGTGTTGTTAGGGAAATAGTCATTTTAATTATTCATCTTCTCATGAATGATGAGTATCTAAAATGTCTGGCCAGCTTTCTGTTTCAACTCACCTAAGAATTCAAACAGCAGCATTTAGGATTTTTCAAACAGAACCCAACAAAGCAAATACCTTTTATTAATGCCCTAGTAAAAACTTTTACCTTAAACAACAATTAAGAGGCACAGACAGACCAAGAGCCTAGCTCTCTTAAGCTCCCCACACCAAACTGATCACAAAGCCTCTGCCCAGCATAGTATAGTCACCTTTATACTAACAAGAGCTCAGCTAGATGGCACTCCCATTTATGTAGACTAAACTCCAAAAAAATACAGACAGATTCTGATACTGTAGCTTATATTTTACTTTAAATACATGGCTTTAAAAACTTTATGATTTATGAGGAAGAGGCAGTAATTTTTTTGTTGTTGTTTCTTTTTGTTTTTGTTTTTTGAGGCAGGGTCTTACTCTGTCACCCCAGCTGGAGTGCAGTGGCACAATCATGGCTCACTGCAGCCACAAACTCCTGGGCTCAGGTGATCCTTCTTCCTCAGCCTCCCGAATAGCTGGGACTGTAAGTGTGTGCCACCATGCCTAGCTAAATTTTTTTTTATTTTTTTTTTTTAGAGATGAGGTTTTGCTATGTTTCCCAAGCTGATCTGGAACTCCTGGACTTAAGCAATCCTTCCATCTTGACCTCCCAAAGTGCTGGGATTACAGGTGTGAGCACCGGGCCAGGAGGCGATATTCCATGTCCCAATGGCAGTATTTCTTTCCACTCTACTCACTCTCTCCCAACTACCCTTGTACCGTGGGAGAAAATTTGCTAATCTGATCAGTTAGAAGACAGAAGAGTGATCACACCATGTTCACCAGTGGGCAGGAGCCACTGATTTTAAAGAATCTGTGTGTGCATCTGTTTTCAATCTTTAACTTTCTGTGTCTGGCAAGGTAGGTAAATAAACACAGGATCTAACTTCTTAGAGAAGACCTGGCCATGATCTCTCTATACAGTAGTGCCAGAGCATACAGGTTACTATCTGTAATTATCATACAGGCTGAGTATCTCTTATCCAAAGTGCTCGAGACTGGAAATACCTAGGATTTGGAATGTTTTTTAATTTTGGAATACGGGAGTGCCAAAAAAAATTGATACACATTTTAAGAGATGTTATCTGTGTATTACTTTTAGTTTGCCGTAATCATAAGTGTCTAGATGCTGATGGTAACCACTTTGAGCACCTCTTGTAATTGTAGAAGTCAAATGTGACTTGTTTCATCTTTTATTAGTATATATTGTTATAATTTTATTTTTATTTATTTATTAAAAATGTATATTATTCCTTTCTCTTTTCTGAGTTGGAGTCTACTCCATCACCCAGACTGGAGTGCAGTGGCATGCTCACGGCCACCCTAGTGTTGACCTGCTGGGTTCAAGCAATACATCCTCCTCAGCCTTCCAAGTAGCCAGAACTACAGGCATGTGCTACCGCGCCTGGCTAATTTTTTGATTTATTGTAGAGATGTGCTCTCGCCAAGTTGCCCGGGCTGGTCTTGAACCCATGGGCTCAGGCAATGCACTCGCCTCAGCCTCCCAAAGTGCTGGGATTACAGGCTGAGCCACTGAACCCAGCCAGTATTACAATTTTAATACAGTTTTAAGGTGGGGTCTCATTTTGTCACTTAGGCTGGAGTGCAGTGACAGCATCATGACTCACCTCAGTCTTGATCTCCTGGGCTCAAGCAATCCTTCTGCCTCAGCCTCCCAAGCTCGGCTAATTTTTTTCATTTTTTGTAGAGATGAGGTCTCACATGTTACCCAGGCTGGTCTCGAACTCCTGGGCTCAAGCGATTCTCCCACCTCAGCCTCCCAAATTATTGGGATTATAGGGGTTAGCCACCATGCCCACTGCATTTTTCATTTATATTTCATATCCCCACTAACTTGCCTAAGGTCTCACTAGCACCAAAGTCTACAGTACCCTCTGCCAGTAGGTGATCAGTCTACTTGAGGATCAACTGGTTAGGGACTCCAGCCTAAACTGCTTAAGCTCAAGATTACCTTAAGGTATAGCTAGCATAAATAAGAAAGGAAACAAATAATAACAATGGCTATTTTATTGAGGTCAGTGGAATCATTACTTTTCTTTTTTCTTTTTTGAGTTGGAGTCTCACTCTGTCGCCCAGACTGGAGTGCAGTGGCTGCTCCCGGCCACCACAGCCTTGACCTGCTGGGCTCCAGCGATCCTTCCAGGATGTATTGCTTGATCCACCTCAGCCTTCCAAGTAGCTGGAATTACAGGCATGTGCTACCACATCCGGCTGATATTTTCATTTATTGTAAAGATGAGGTCTCGCTGCCCGAATCATTACTTTTCTAGAGATATTCTTTCACTTTAACTTCTAAGTTTATCTCTCTCGGCTACTGCAGTTTCTAACTGGTGGAAACTGAAGATAAGAGATTAAATATGAGACAGAAATAGAGAGCAGATAGACCTTTTTTTAGTATCGCTTATTAAGTTTCTACTAGATTTAACAAAAACATTACAAACTCTTTGAGCTATAGTAAAATTGATTATCCTTTGAAAATTGGAATGTATTTCAGAATAGAGTGGCCTTCAATGATAACATGAGCAAGACAGGAAGGCAGTCAAAAGAAGAGTTCATAGAAACTCTTGCTCTGTTGCCCAGGGTGGAGTATACTGGCTCAATCATAACTCACTGCAGCCTCGAACTCCTGGGCTCAAGCAATCCTCCTACCTTAGCCTCCCAAGTAGCTAGGACTACAAGGTATGTACTGTACCACCACACTTGGCTAATTTTTTTAAATGTTTGATAAGGATTTTCACTGTGTTGCCCAGGCTTGTCTCAAACTCCCGGCATCAAGCGATCCTCCCATCTCAGCCTCCCACATAATTTCATTTTCAGGTTCAATTACCTGCATCAATATTTGGAAACAGAACGAGGGTCCGCTTGTTAAATGAGATAAGTGCATCCAATGTTAATTCAAACATTTTTATGGAATGCTTAATGTCAGTGGTCACAGGATGCTGTAGTGCAACAATGTAATCTTTCGATTTTACATCATCACCTGTTTAAAGAAAATCAAACCACATTGCTTCATTAGTTAAGAATTTTAAAAGACAAAAATCTGTGCCTTTAAACATTCTAAGATAAAAACAGTTTGTTAAATTCTAAGCAGGGCAATCAAATTAAGATCAATGGTAAGAACTTACAGCAACAAGTCCAAGGATTCCACAAACCCAATATTTTACAAAGATCCTTGCTACCACACACATAAAATATAACTTTAAATAGCAGTCACCAGAAAATCATTGTTTTAAAATCAAAATTATTCCAAAGCACTAAAAAAAGTGAATCTTACCAATTTCTATTGTTTCTAATAAGTGCAAATGAAACTTAAAGCAATTTAAATGAATAATAATACATTGCAAATCAGGACACCTAGAGATTCGGCATTAAACATTTTATTTCATATAATGCATAGAAGCCTCCCCAAACTATCACCTACCAGGTTCAACAAGTAGCAAGTGTTTCTAACTCTGTTCAAAGGACTAGAAAGGCTTCACTCATTCTTAGGCCAGGATCCCAAGGACAGTTCCTCAGCAAACATTTAGAATGTAAAAGGTTTGGATCGACAGTGCTATGCCAAACAGCACAAGACACTGATCAACAGGGCCTGTGTTATCCCATGAGACTGAAAATGAGCTCCACTCACCTATTTGTTAATGAAAGGATATCTTTCTCTGTGATATTAATTTTAATGATCAATTTTATCATAAACTACATAGTTTATCATTCATTTCCAAATCCCACCAGCAGCAGTTTTTTTTCTTTATAGTTTAATGGTAACAGAGTCTTACTAAGTTAGACTTTTCAGTAGTATTTTATTTAAAACATCATATGGCTCAAAAATTTTATTTTAAAGAAGTACTGGTCCTATATTAGCTTCTAAACTGAGGAGGGAAGTAGGGAAATATAATTATTAAATTGTTGTACCAAGTAGAAAAAACACCTGAAGGCATAAAAGAATCTATCAGAAACTTGATACAACATGAGAGTTTCAAAGATGGAAAAGGAAAACAGCCTCTCACATTACAGTTAACAGAAGTCTGGAAAGATAATTCAACACAGATATTGAAAAGGGGCATTAGAAAGAACTCTTTTTTTTTTTTTGAGTTGGAGTCTCACTCTCTCCCCCAGGCTGGAGTGCAGAGGCACACTCTCAACCACCGCAACCTTGACCTGCTGAGCTCAGGTGATCCTTCCACTTCAGCGTTCCAAGTAGCAACTACAGGCATGTGCCACCACACCCAGCTAATTTTTTGATTTATTGTAGAGATGAGGTTTCACCAAGTTGTCCAAGCTGTTCTCAAACCCGTGGGCTCAGGCAATCCTCTCACCTTGGCCCCCAAGGTGCTGGGACTATAGGCATGAGCCACCATGCCTGGGCCAAAACAAACTATTTCTTTTTTTTTTTTGAGTTGGAGTCTCACTCAGTCCCCCAGACTGGAGTGCAGT